CGGCCGATGTTTAATTTCGAACTCGTACTCCTGCAAAGCGAGTATCCACCGAGCAAGACGGCCTTTAGGTTCCTTTAGCCCCTGCAACCATGTCAAACTCTGATGGTCCGTTACAATGTCGAACGCTCTACCGAGCAAATATGGCCGCCAATAGTTCACTGTCCATACGATGGCCAAACACTCTTTCTCTGTCGTCGAGTAGTTTCTTTCTGCTGGCGTCAGTGTTCGACTGGCGTACGCGATCACACATTCATGTTCACCTATTCGTTGCGACAAGACGGCACCGGGTCCGTAATCGCTGGCATCTGTATATATAATGAAAGGAACTGAAAAGTCCGGCAACGATAGGATTGGTGCTGTACACAGGCGGTTCTTCAGCTCATTGAACGACTTGTCCGCTAACGGCGTCCAGTTGAACTCTGGCTGACTACCTTTAGTCATGTCATGCAGGGGCGTAGCGATGTCCGCGAAATTCTTTATAAATCTTCGATAGTAGGATGCCATACCGATGAATGCACGAACCTCGGTAAGGGAAGATGGGGTTGCAAAGCCTCGCACCGCCTCAACCTTCGATGGGTCAGGCTCGGTCCCTCGCGCCGATACGATATGCCCAAGAAACTTAACTGACTCTTGCGCAAACTGGCACATTTTCCGCTTTACCTTCAACCCAGCAGCGCGAATACGACTAAATACTTCTTTCAAAATTAGCTGGTGTTCCTCCCACGTCTCGCAAAAGATGATTATGTCGTCGATGAAAACAAGGCACCCCTTTATCCCCTTCAAGACGTTCCCCATCATGCGCTGAAACGTGGCGGAAACGTTGGTTAAACCGAAAGGCATCACCGTGAATTCGTAGTGGTCTACTCCCACCGAAAATGCAGTCTTCTCCCTATCTTCCTCTCTTAACGGTACCTGCCAATACCCGGAAGCGAGATCTAGGGTACTGAAGTAATGTGCACCCCCCAACTCGTCTAGAATGTCGTCGATACGGGGCATTGGCTGAGCGTCCTTCTTTGTTACGGAATTAACACGTCGAAAGTCAACGCAAAACCGGTAATCACCGTCTTTCTTCGGAGCTAGCACGATTGGCGAGGACCAAGGACTGTTACTAGGTTGGATTAAACCTCTGTCTAACATATCATTTACCTGATTGTTCACCACTTTGTTGAGATGAAAGGGAATCCGATAGGGCCTTTGCTTCACTGGGCGACTATCCCCTGTATCAATCGCTCGGCCCGTTTACAAAAATGTCTGAATAACTTTCGAGCAGAACACTTAGCTTGTTCACAGTTGGGGAAGTTGTCTCAACCATTAATTCTGCTTCCCCTGTCTTCCACGAAAGCTTCGAGTTCGCTATGTCCACAACCATTCCCCCCGATTTTAAGAAATCGGCACCCAAAATGCAAGTGTTTCTCATACCCACGACCAGAAACTGATGGGAGACCTTCGACATTCCAAGGCAAACATGCAAGTCCGTTGATTCCAACACATGTAGGTCCTCCCCGCCAATCCCTCTTGCCCTCAAAGAACATGGCTTTAAGGGTCCACTAATAAATTCTCTGCTGACTAACGACACCGTTGCACCTGTGTCCACTAAACATTTTCGCTCATGGTCGCCCAATCGTGCCTTTACGAAGACTGCCGTGGGCTGAACACAGTTTATGGGCAAGGCCGCATTATCCTGGGCTGACCCCCGGCCTAGAAACGGGTCGGCCCCTGGTCATTTCCCTGACGTGGTTGGCTATTAATGGAGGACTGGAATCGAAACTGGCATTCCCGCGCGAAATGTCCCATCTGTCCACAAACAAAGCAGTAATTTTCAGTTTGGCGCTGTCGATAATTCTTTCGTCGCCCGTTCCCGGACGTACTCCTACATTCGCTGGCGATGTGACCCATTCGCCCACATTGATAACAAGGGCCCCGGCGCTCCGCGGGGGAATTTCGCACAGACGCTGCGTTTACGTTAGCAACAGATTGAAATAATTCACTAACCTTCCTCGTAAGAATATCTACACTTTGCATCAATTGCATAGCCAAGGGCGACTCTACTACCGTTTGATTCGTGCCACCGCTCGTATTCACTTCGTTAACCGATTGACTCGATGAAATCTGACCCGCTAAATCCAGCTGTTGCCCCGCCGTAACTGTCTCCTCGTACGCGAGGGTCGGTCGTTGTAATAATTGTCTCTTTAGTTCTATAAACACTCCTTCGACAAATTGTTGCTTGAGAAGTGTTTCTCTGTCGCCCTTCTAGATGTTTGGCATCGCGCGTCTTAATAGCGTTTCTAAATTGTAGGCGAATACTTGGATGTCTTCGTCTGGCTTTCTCATTCAGCTGCGAAATGCCATCATCGCGAGATATTTGCCGTTCTCATCACCACCAAAAGCCTCCGTTAGCGCTTTCGTTAGTACTTTAAAATCTTCTTTCGTCTCCGCCGCAAGACGCTCGAAAATCGCAAAAGCTTTGCCAAGCAACAGAGTTGGCAGCCTTTTTAACATATCCGTATCTTTCCAATCGTTCGCCTTCGCACAAAGCTCAAATTTTCGTAGCCACAGAACCATATCGCCGTCTGAAAAGATCTCGGGAAGTGCTACACTCGTACGCGTCGCTGTTGCCATCCTGGTCACGGCACCAAATGTAATATAAGCGAATCAGACAACAACGATACAAAACCAGACTTTTCTATTACTCTTTTACACGCTAGAATATCACACAATAACAATTCTAATGTCCCTGTCTCATATTACCAATGTCCTAATACCTTGCCAATCACCCCTGTGACACTTGATACCTATTATTATTATAGTCATACATATTACAACATATAGAAAATGGAAAAACATTTACATATAGAAAATATATTATTCACTTTAATACGAAGAACTATCACGATATACTGTACATGTAAGGTCCGTTTCATGTGAAAATGAATTTTCTTATTTCCTTGTTATATTCTTCCAACTTTCAAACGTATTCTTTAGCTCATATTTCGTCAGTGTGGCCAACATTTTCATGTTCGACGAAGCCAGATGCCATCTACGAAGGAGCACTTTCAAATTTGATTTTGAAGTGGTTTTGTACGTTTCACCTTCAATTTTATATTCAGCACAATCGTAGAAACTTTTTTCAGTACCACAGAACGATTTTGAGCTTAATAAACCGACTTTTCTTGCAAAAATTCTCACTTTAGTAAGTTACAGCGTCAAAATATAATACAATTCTATAGTGTTTGTTTACGCTCGCGTTTCTGAGTCCCATGCCCCCAAGCACAACGGATTTTTTTGAAAATTGTCATGTTTGAGAGTCAATATCTCGGAAAATACAGAACCAAATCAAAAAAGGTTAAAGAACTTACAAACTAACTTTTTGTGCTCTTTCCAAATCCGTAAATATCCTACAAGTGATATAGGCACTATAGCGAAAGTATATAGCGAAAGTTTTAATTACGTACTAGGCATGTCCAAAGGTCGCATCTTCACGTGATGGCGCACGTGATTTTTTTTGTTATTCGCCGGTCGATAACGTATTATCTCCCTCTCGCGCTGTTGCGAGTTAGACAGCCTAATTTCGTCACTCTCACGTGATATGCTCTCAACCAATAAAGCACTAGAAAAATGCGACTTTGACTATTGATATATTATAATTATCACTTAGGGACCGAGGGAAACAGTGTGTTTGTGGACCCGAGACCGTCGATATATAATAATAATGTTTATTTCCCAAACCGGTTTGACATACTTTTACAAATGGCCAATCACATGCGAGATTCAAATTCTGAAGCTAATTGAAGTGTGGAAGCTAGTGGGATTTTCATCCGATGTGACCTGAGGCTCCTACTTCTCGCCTCTCGTTAATTTCGCCTCGCAAAGAGCCTCTGGAACCAGGGTATATTGATATATTTATTAATATATTAGTTACCCTGAGAGCATGCCTGATTTCCCCTGGCGTAGAGCATGCCTGATTTCCCCATTAACTATATAGCGTAGTCATATATAGACCCCGTTTACATGGGACCGCGGAAAAATTTGACGGAACCGCGGAAAAATTTGGAACTGGGCTGAAATTCGTCTTCTTCGCGGAACCCCACGAATTTGAGACCCCCTAAGAGGACGAATTCGTGCGTAAACAGGAGAAAAAGGACGAATTTCAGTCCCGTCCCAAATTCGTCTGGTACCGTGTATTAACAAGGTCATAGATTTAAATTTGATGACACGTATACATCGGCGTCCAAACGAATATCCGCCGAAGACGAAACCTTGCAGAAAAAACAAATCAAAATACAGCCAGAGGAGGTTTCCTACATAAATAATTATGTTTTACCCTGGATGCGCATCATCTACTAAATCTTAAGTTAGTTGTTTATTCAAGGGAGATTTTAAGAAACTTTGGAAAGCTTGCAGGATAGCCGAAATATATAATATTTTTGATGTATACAAAATAAGAAATCATAACAGTTTTATCAAGCTGCATGAATATGAAGTATTACTGTAAATTGAGTGATTCACTTTACATCAGACATAGTTTAATTGCGTTGTCTAATCTATATTTTTGTATAACGCTGCATATTCTTTCCTTCTTTTGTAGATACGATATATACGAATGTCAAAAATGCCATATATAGGTAAATGAAACGTTTCTTTATGTATTTTAATTATTACCTCCGCCAGGAGGTTATGTAATCATCTGGGTTTTTACCTCCGCCAGGAGGTTATGTAATCATCTGGGTTTGTATGTGTGTGTGTGTGTGTGTGTATGTGTGTGTGTGTATGTGTGTGTGTGTATGTGTGTGTGTGTGTATATGTGTGTGTGTTTGTCTGTGAGCGCGATAACTCAAGAAATACCAAACATATCCGTATGTAATTTTGTGAGTGCATTTCCCATCGGCTAAGGAAAAACTGATTAAAATTTGGTTGAATTTGGTTAAAAATTGAATGAGAAATAACAAGAGTTTGTCTTGATTTTCCCGGTCAATTAAATAAAACTTATACTGAATGCGTAATTAGGACGTGCATAATATATGCACCAGCCATTCAAATTCTAATAACAATAGATTACTTCAATATTTTGCGCGTAGGCGGAGGTATTCAGTCTCTGAGTGCCCTCTAGTTATACATGCGTTTGCCCTAGGCTAAGGAATTAAGCTTATTGTCTGGGCTCATGCAAGCATTTACAAAATAATTCACTCTTAACTTGCAAAGAAACCGGACAGAATTTTCTTTTGAAGTTCAAGTGTCTTTTGTATTTCTTAGGCAATTAGCTTATGCTTATAGAGGGTTGTGCTCGGAGCAATTCAAAAGTGATTTTAAAATTCGTGTGTTCTGTGTAAGAAGGTCGAAGATGTCGCCTACAAACCAAGAAATATACCCGACTTACCAGAATCAAGAGTATACGAAGACCCACCGTTTTGGCATTCCGGTGTCGACTTCGCTGGCCCACTTTACTTACGTCACGAGAACAGAACGCAGAACCAAGAAACCATTTACAACGCTTACGTTTGCCTGTTCACCTGCGGCTCGACGCGAGCATTACATTTGGAATTAACAACACGTTTGAGCGTGGAAGCTTTCTTTATGGCATTTCGTTGATTCGCTGGGAGAAGAGGACTGCCCCCGACCATTACGTCTGACAATGCGAAGACATTTAAAAGTGCGTCTAAAGAGATTCGACGATTCACACGGTCTAGTGTTCTGCGTGATTATATGATCAATCATCGAATATCCTGTCACTTTATTGCACCTAAAGCTCTTTGTTGGGGAGGATATTGGTAAAGATGGTGAAACAAGCACTCAAGAAAACATAAGGCAGATCAATACTCAGTAACGACGAAATGAATACTGTGTTAGTTGAAGTGGAACGAGTTATCAATTCTCGGCCCATAATGTATATTTATGATGACAGAGAAGCTATAAGTTATGCCCTGACTCCTTCTCATTTGATCAACGGAATGTCGATCTCAACGATTCCAAGCAGCCAATTAACATTACGATGTAATAAGTACAAATCAAACTCTCACAAGAAGATCGCGCCATCACCGACGTTTACTACAACAATTTCTTCAAAGATGGAAACGAGATTACCTTTTGAGTTCACGTGAGAATCATGAAGTGAAGTCTAGACACGATTAGAAGCCTAATATATCTGTAGGAGACATCGTTATACTGAAGAACGATTCAACTTCAATGAACTTCTGGAAATTAGCCAAGATCGAAGAATTACTACCTGGAAGAGATGGAACAATAAGATCTGCTGCTGTGAAAGTGGCTAACGACACAAGAAAACCCGTTTTGTTAAAGAGAGTCATACAACAACTTATTCCCATCGAAGTGCGATCCGACGAAGCAACAATAATGGACGAAGGTGAAGAAGAAAAGAACGGGACTACGACTGGCAATGAAGAGAAACTGAATCATCGACCTCGTCGAACAACTGCCATCCCAGGAGAAGCAAGAAGGAGATCTTCAAATATGAAGTAACTTTAATATGTGACTCTTACTCAGGCCGATTAATGCCTGGCTCTTGTTGGCTCTGCCCACGCTGACTTGATATGTCCGCGCGAGTTGCGCGCGCGATTCAACATATCCAGCGTGTTGCCGTTTGACTGCGTTTTGCCGTTCGAATGAAACTGAAATTTAATAACTATGAGCTGTTGGATTATTTTATATTATGTTAGATTATAGCAACCAGCAGGGATGAGTAAATTATCAGTTTTTCTTGTACAATTGGCCGTTGTATAGTATAATATATCATATTATGCGATATGCGGCGACCTTTGAACTTTGATATATAACGCTATTGCGGGATTTTATGTCTCAATTATTCAACATCGATTTGTGCTTCCTCTTTAGTTTCCCAATCACAGAAAAATATTTGAAATACAAATAAGTACTCAGCATATGGATCGTTCAAACTTTTTGGGGTGGTGTTGTTTAGGTGTGACATATTTCTCTTAAAAACTTGAGGACGCAATAAATGTTGTTGTTGAAATATAATATCCTTTCATATAAAGACTCAGACTCCTGTCGAATATTCTCTCAATATATAAACGAAGATATGTAATTATCATATTGTACTTCTGTACACATTTTTCTCTCTGTTCCTCGCATATTATTTGAATACACTACTTACTAGTTGTAAATGATTTATCAGTCATTGTGTATTTGTATTTCATAATATTTTGTTTCACGACAGGGGCTTATATTAATGATAATGGCGAGCGCGAATTCATCACGCAAAAAACGCTTTGGACTTGCCGACTTACAAGACAACGTTAATGTCGGTCGCTAATACGTAGATTTTGTCCAGAGTACAGCCAATTTTGGTCCTACAATTAGATTTGTAAGCATTGTAATCTGGAACGATCGTTTTAGTGGAAATTATATTGACATTGTGCGAGACATTGTTGTAATCACAGCAATATTTTCATATCAGTGGCATAATCTTTAAGTTCCGAATTACCACATTGCAGTATAAGAGTAAAAGGTTCCGTGATAATATTTTTGCACATATCCATGAATGTTTAGTAAGTCGGCAAGCCGTGTTTATAAACATCAAGTTAATTTCCATTATCACCGCCTATATCTTGTCACGTGACCAGTTTCCATGGAACCCAAATAGTTAAAAAATATCGGCAGTTGATTTTCAACATCTCACCCATAAATAAGGGTCGTAGTGTATTCTGTTAATTTTTAATTAATTTTTAAAGATTATTTTTATTTTCCCACTCCTTACGAAATTGGAGCCAGGCATTAATGCACCTGAGTAACATTTTATATTTCTGTTTATTATCGAATTTCACTACAAAAGAAAGTATAGGGATATAGGAACTGAAACAGTTATGTGAACTTTGATCACCAAAGGTGATCAACCTCGGGCAGTGTCATAAATGTTTAATATATTACTATACTAACCGGAAGTATTAACATATTTGTTGACATTTTATAGCTAGCGCTACTAACCACACCTTAAACGTGACATGTAATATAAGTTGTTTTTCGTAATATATATTTATAGACTACAAAATGGTGTCGAATTCGAATGTTTATTACATCATATCCACAAACGTTGACAGTGAAAAAGTTGCCCAAGATGGGATTTTTTATTATGACTAAAACTGTCTGTACCAGTGTTGGTAGTACCAATGTGAAAATGCTGTGCTGAGTGGTTATATTACTACCTTAAAAATAAGCAGAAACTCGACCTTTCGAGCGAAGGCCCTTCGTCAAGAGTTACATTTCTTCGAATATTACATTTCTTCGAATATTACATTTCTTCGAATCTTAAATTTCTTCGAATATTACATTTCTTCTTACATTTCTTCGAATATTACATTTCTTCGAATATTACATTTCTTCGAATATTACATTTCTTCGAATGACTCAAATATAATTATATTACACACAAAAAAAATCGTATTTGTGTTAGTCACAGTTTCACTTTGTTTTCCCAAGAGTTTCGCACGAAGTCGAAAGAAAAACCAACAACATTCATACAACAATTGTATTTGATGACAAAAACTCTATAGTGGAAACGAGTTTAAAATTAAACGAGCCATTGCAGATGGTTTTAGAAGCATAACCTGTTGCCTGTTGTGTATTTTTCTTCACTTTTGCGTTCTTTATTTGAACACAAACTGGTAAAATCGTAGTTTATAAAATTAAATCAATCTAAAATTTGTGTTTCCTTTATTGTTAAAATAGGGGCACGTCCAGAACGCCATATTTTAGCCTAATTTACAACCCGGCGAAGAATTGCATTTTCCTTGTTCAGGTATGACATATACGTCTTATATGCCGGGCATTGACTTTCATGATTACAAGATAATCATTTTTACCGAACAATTTTGTAGTCACCTGCGTCGAACCCAGAGAACAGCGCTTATGAACTTCATGCTGTGCCTAAAGACTTTGATAGCAGCAGTCCTGAGGGTAAGACATGTTTAAACTAACTTTATTTATACTGGATAGCTTTATCAGTTTTAAACTGTTCTTCTTAGAGGTCCAGTAAGGATAATCTCTTATTGATTCTGTGTTATTGCAGGAGGAAAACTAAACTGTCATGAATTTCGCTAGCACTTGAAAAAGTTGCATAACTTGCTGCATGGTTAAATGAATTTCTTGTATTTGTAGTGTCGGGCGGCAAGCGTTCAGCGGGTATCACTGCTGTTTGGGTTGCTAGAAACAGATTTGCTGTCTTGGACAAGACACATACGGTATGGAATATTGCAGAAAATTCAACATGGGGTAGACATACCTAAGATTTTTTCGAAGTTCATGTTACTTCAAAGTTGCGCTATTAACCCATTAAGATGCGTGCTACACACGTAAAAATCTCGCATCTTATAGCAAGTCTGCCAATGATATAACAAGAATGTTACAAGGTTGTTCTAACAAGTGTGATACAGTCATGATATAACAAGAATGTTACAAGGTAGTTCTAACAGGTGTGATACAGTCATGATATAACAAGAATGTGACAAGGTTGTTCTAACAAGTGTGATACAGTCATGATATAACAAGAATGTTACAAAGTTGTTCTAACAGGTGTGATACAGTCATGATATAACAAGAATGTGACAAGGTTGTTCTAACAAGTGTGATACAGTCATGATATAACAAGAATGTTACAAAGTTGTTCTAACAAGTCTGATACAGTCAGGATATAACAAGAATGTTACAAAGTTGTTCTAACAAGTCTGATACAGTCATGATATAGCAAGAATGTTACAAGGTTGTTCTAACAAGTGTGATACAGTCATGATAAAACAAGAATGTTACAAAGTTGTTCTAACAAGTGTGATACAGTCAGGATATAACAAGAATGTTACAAAGTTGTTCTGACAAGTCTGATACAGTCATGATATAACAAGAATGTTACAAGGTTGGTGACACAAGGTTGATGACACAAGATTGTAACAATATTGCTATATCATGAATGTATCGGACTTGTTGGGACAACCTTGCAAAACTCTGATAATATCCACAAGCTTGTTACAACCGTTAACAAGTTGTTCCGTATTTGTTGACAGCTTGGGAGAAGCAGTGCGAACACAATTTGTTGACGACTTGTCGGCAGACTTGCTAGAAGATGTGAGATTTTTGCGTGTGTCCTTTATTTTTTTTACTCTGCATAAGGCATTGAAATGAATATAACTGGAACGCCTTTCTTAAAGTGTGTATGACATGAAATTTCTTATCTTCTTAAATGAACGAACTCTTTAAGCTGTAGTGTAACTTATTTTTCAGTTTCTTGTTTTTGTTGCATGCCCATATATGGCATGCAACTATCATATAGCTTAAAATTCGTCTCCGTTGTTGTTGTCGTTGAAACTTGCGGCAGATCACAAGAAATTTGAGATAATACGACGAATACCGAGTTATACGGACAAGCATTTATGAGTTTTATATTATTACAACAACGTGGAATTTGAGCTGAAAATCCGCTTTCGAGAGTCGCCTTTAATAAACAAAAGTAGATCGAGGTAAGTTTAAAAGTTTGGCTGCTTTTGGAGCCGTTGTGCTCGCAGGGCTATTAGCGTGAAAGGCCACGCTCTCAAAATACTCAAACTGAACGGAGCCATTGTGCTCGCACTGATTATTTACCAGGGCTATTTTAATAGCGTGAAAGGCCACGCTCTCAAAATACTCAAGTTGAAACGGAGCCATTGTGCTCGCACTGATTATTTATCAGGGCGCTATTAGGAAAGGCCACGCTCTCAAATTGAACCTTGCCATTGTGCAGGTATAAAAAAGCAGCCCATTGCCATTGTGCTGGGATTATTGAGACTTTGCCATTGTGCAATTTTAAAACAATTACAAATACAAACTGTCAAAGACAATACTGAAAGTATACAAACTACAGTACACTAGTTATTGACAATTTAATACTGTAACGAAACTATATTAATTATTCCAAACAGTGAGAATACCATATGGGTGTGCCAATTGAGATATACCAAGCAAGAATTGGTTCGCATAACAATTTTGTGCAAGGACGACAGTGTATGAATCAAATGAAAGGTAAATTTTGGAACCATATGTTAGTAATGTTCTACTTAGAAATATTTTATTTACCATGCTTGAAAATTCTAGTTGCAAAGATTGAAAGTAATAAATGAAGTTTGCATGTGGTATACACAGATGGTATCTTATCATGTTTATGTGCAATTGCTATTGAGGCTTGCAAATGATGTAGAGGAAAATCCAGGCCCAATTAATATCCATGATATTGTTGATCATAGTTTTACGGTTCGAGCAGATTTCAACCAAGGTAATAAATCCATGCTTGGAATAAATGCTGGAAAACAATGTGTTGCCATGTCAATTTATGCTATTGTATACAATGAAATAAATTCTGTTAAAGTGTCTATGACACGAAATTTCACCCCAAATCTTTATGCTTGCATTGTAAAGATCACTTAGAATGACATAATAATTTCTTTTATAGAATTTTGATAACTTGCTTCCTTTGCAAGATATTCAACTTCGTTTCATATGCAAATATCACCAGTGTGACATCACATCGCGTAATGACATTTTGAAAACGCAATATTTTACCTTGATAAAGTATTTTTACAAACAAATACAGAGATTTAATTACCAGTTATGAAATAAATACATATACAAGGGCAATTTTTAAGTTTTCTAGATACGTATTCGTCAAGAAAACTATGCTTTTCTGAAAACTCATTATGTGATGTGATGTCACGTACACCGGTGATATTTGCATATGAAACAAAGTTGAATATCTTGAAAAGGGAGCAAGTTACCAAAATTCTATAAAAGAAATTATTAAGTCATTTCAAGTAATCTTTACAATGCAATCACAAACATTTGGGGTGAAATTTCGTGTCATAGGCACTTTAATATTTGGGATAGACCACTTATGAACATGCTTCTAATTAATGCAAACAATCTTTACGCCATAATTAGTCAGCACGTTCTGAAAGATTTCTTGTTGCTCACTGATGTTCCTGAAATATTGTCTATCAACAATGATACTTTTAATTCGGAGTATAGCTACTCTTTTTCTGGAGCATTATGGATGGAATATAACAATGAACCGTTGTTACACTTGAACATGCTTTTCATGAAGTATTTGACGCTAGTAATTATAAAGCATGTTTACTTACTATTCAAGCAAACACTGTTGCGGTTTTAATGCCTTTCCCAGATGTATTTAAAGTTTTTGATTCTCATTCACGAGATATGCATGGAATGCCAGCGGCAATGGGCTATAGTGTTTTAGGTTCTGTTGAAGGAATTCAAAAGCGTGTGGGGTTTTTTTCATCACAGTTGTAACTGTCATGGACAAGATATTCCCTTTGAATTGAAGGGTGTTAAATGTCATAGAAACATTTCATTGTCAAATAGCTTGGGTAACACATTGAATGAACGGATAAACACAACATCAAATAACCATGAGAAATGCAGTCAGAAAAAACAAAGTGAGACAATTACAATCCGAAAAAGCAATCAACGAACAAAACAACAAGAAAAAGAAAATAAACTTGCAAAGCAAAGAGAGAAAAGGCAACAAGAGTCTGTTGCAGAGAGAAAAAATAGACTTGCAAAGCTAAGAGAGAAAAGACATCAAGAGTCTGTTGCAGAGAGAGAAAATAGACTTGCAAATTAAGCTAAGAGAGAAAAGACAACAAGAGTGTGTTGCCGAGAGAGAAAATAGACTCGCAAAGCTAAGAGAGAAAAGACAACAAGAGTCTGTTGCAGCGAAACAAAATAGACTTGCAAAGCAAAGAGAGGAAAGACAACAACAGCTGCTGCCAAGAGAGAAAATAGACTCGCAAAGCTAAAAGAGAAAAGACAACAAGAGTCTTTTGCAGAGAGGGAAACTAGACTTAACCCTATTTGTGCCGGGGGTGCGCACAATGAGCGCACCCCCATAAATATTTATCCGTCATTCCTGAACAAATGATCCGATTTGCCTGTACTTTCATGACTTTTAATATTTTACCTCTGCCGTCAGACTGCGAAAAAAAATTCTGAAAATTCAAAGTTATTCGGACGTTTGCCGACATTTGTCAAAGAAGGTGTCGGTGCCAAAAATGGGTAAATGTGGGTTGGACAGTATTTTTTGGCTTCAATCACTTCCCAGGTCATAAATAACATAATATAATAAGAGAACATATAAATATGGATTATTACACATGATTTGCAAAGTAAAATATCCATAATATATTATATAAAATAGTAAAATATAGTATAACATATAATATAGCATACTATACAATACTTATAAATATATAATATAAAATACTTATTTATAATATTTTTATATATTCAAATACACATACATATTTCTTTGTACCTTCAAGGCATAACATCTCCCTGCCTTTCAGCAAGAATCAAACTTGTAGGAAGCATTATATATTGAACATTTTCGTACCAGAAATTCAGTTCCAAATGAGAGTAAAACTTTTGCATACAATCCAGAATGATTGCCATATTTTCAAAGTAAATATTGTGTTTTCAAAACTATACTGCAGGCTCGTATCTCGTAGCTCACCTGCCTTACACTTCATGTAACGCATAGTATATTGGTATAAAACATGGCTGCCATTTCGTATTTTTTCTACAAACTTTTGTTGGTCGACATTTTATGTTTACACTGCAGAAGTTATGCCAAAAAAAGTGCTAGAGTTTCAACAGAATGCACAATTGTGCATACTATGAGAATAATGGAACATTATTAATACAACAATGACACTGTCACAAAGATATGAAGGTAAAATCAGTGATGTTGAAACTTGAAAATGATTTGGATTGTTTATATGAGAGACTGGTTGTTATCTCTTTACAAAATAGAACCAAAATGGGTAAAATATTAGATATATTCGCCATTTTCGGATAGGCGGTCATATTCATTGGGGCCAAAAAACAGCATTTTGGATGTGAATTTAACTTTTTTGTTATTTTTAGGTTAAAGAAAGATAAAACTTACTAAAAATAAAACTTATAGGATAATAGCAGTTAATCGACAGAATTTCTGAGGGGAGCGCCCTATCAGCGCACCCCCGGTCATATCAACATGAAAACCCCCCGGTACAAATAGGGTTAAACACCAGCGAGAAACAAAAAGGTTGAAAAGGCAAAACGAGACTATCGAACAAAGAAAACAAAGATTGGCAAAAGCACAAGTTAATTATAAAGCAAATAAAAGTAGATGTTCTGGAAAAAACAAACCATGTCCTCCATCAGGTTCTCAAGAGCATCACAGTAATGATAACAGTATATCACATAATAGAGTATCACAATTGATACATAAATTCCATAAATCTGTATCAACAGGTCCTCTGTATATTTGTTCGTACTGTGATCAATTATGGTATAAACATAGTGTTTGTCCAGCCGAGAGACTTCGATTGTGCAATCCAAATTCTACTAAACATCTACAACGTATTAAAAGTGTGGATGATATTGAATGGCTGTGTTTTACATGTGACAAACATCTTAAAAAGAATAAAGTGCGACCATCTGCAACTGCAAATATTAATGGCTTGAAGTTGCCAGAAAAACCTGACTTCTTTGATTTAAATGAATTACAATGCAGACTTATAGCTCCAAGATTGGCCTTCCAAAAAATAATGCAAGCCCCCAGAGGAGGGCAACTTAAAATTACTGGTAATGTTGTGAATGTTCAAGCAGATATATTTGATACAGTTAACATGCTACACAGGTTACCACAAGATACTGCCACTATTAAAGTTCAATTGAAACGTCGACTGCAATATAACAGTTCTGCCTTGTCTTTGAATGTGAGACCTAATAAAGTGATGCAAGGTGCAGACCTAATAAAGTGATGCAAGGTGCAAGGCTAACTTTTTTCAACATTTTGTCATATCTCACGAACTATTGGTCCAATCCACTTGAAAGTCAAAGCGTTGTCCTCAGCAGGTTGCATGTGACCGATTAGCACTGTTATTCTCCAATTTGCAAAAATAAGTTTTTTCAACATTTTGTCATATCTCACGAACTATTGGGCCAATCGACCTGAAAGTCAACGCTTTATGCTCAGCAGGTTGCGGGTGAACGATTAGCACTTGTTACTCTCCAATTTGCCGAAATAAGTTTTTTCAAGATCTTGTCATATCTCACGAACTATTGGGCCATTCGATCTGAAAGTCAACGCGTTGTGCTCAGCAGGTTTCATGTGACCGATTAGCACTGTTATTCTCAAATTTGCAAAAATATGTTTTTTCAACATTTTGTCATATCTCACGAACTATTGGACCAATCGACCTGAAAGTCAACGGATTGTGCTCAGCAGGTTGCGGGTGACCGATTAGCACTGTTATTCTCCAATTTGCAAAAATAAGTTTTTCAACATTTTGTCATATCTCACGAAATATTGGGCCATTCGATCTGAAAGTCAACGCGTTGTGCTCAGCAGGTTGCATGTGACCGATTAGCACTGTTATTCTCCAATTTGCAAAAATAAGCATTTTCAACATTTTGTCATATCTCACGAACTATTGGGCCAATCGACCTGGAAGTCCACGGGTTGTGCTCAGCAGGTTGCGGGTGACCCATTAGCACTGTTTTTCTCCAATTTGCCAAAAAAAAGTTTTTTCAACATTTTGTCATATCTCACGAACTTTTGGGCCAATCGAGCTGAAACTAATCGTGTTGTGCTCCGCAGGTTGCGGGTGACCGATTCGCACTGTTATTCTCCAATTTGCAGAAACAAGTTTTTTCAACATTTTGTCATATCTCACGAACTATTGGGCCAATCGAGCTGAAACTCAGCGCGTTGTGCTCAGCAGGTTGCGGGTGACGGATTAGCACTGTTATTCTTCAATTTGCGAAAACAAGTTTTTTCAACATTTTGTCATATCTCACGAACTATTGAGCCAATCGAGCTGAAACTGATCGTGTTGTGCTCAGCAGGTTGCGGGTGACCGATTAACACTGTTATTCCCCAATTTGCGAAAACAAGTTTTTTCAACATTTTGTCATATCTCACGAACTATTGGGCCAATCGAGCTGAAACTCAACGCTTTGTGCTCAGCAGGTTGCGGGTGACCGATTAATACTGTAATTCTCCAATTTGCGAAAACAAGTTTTTTCAACATTTTGTCATATCTCACGAACTATTGGGCCAATCGAGCTGACACTCAACGCGTTGTGCTCAGCAGGTTGCAGGTGACCGATTAACACTGTTATTCTCCAATGTGCGAAAACAAGTTTTTTCAACATTTTGTCATATCTCACGAACTATTGGGCCAATCGAGCTGAAACTCAACGCGTTGTGCTCAGCAGGTTGCGGGTGACCGATTAACACTGTTATTCCCCAATTTGCGAAAACAAGTTTTTTCAACATTTTGTCATATCTCACGAACTATTGGGCCAATCGAGCAGAAACTCAACGCGTTGTGCTCAGCAGGGTGCGGGTGGCCGATTCGCACTGTTATTCTCCAATTTGCAAAAACAAGTTTTTTCAACATTTTGTCATATCTCACGAACTATTGGGCCAATCGATCTGACACTCAACGCGTTGTGCTCAGCAGGTTGGGGGTGACCGATTAACACTGTTATTCCCCAATTTGCGAAAACAAGTTTTTTCAACATTTTGTCATATCTCACGAACTATTGGGCCAATCGAGCTGACACTCAACGCGTTGTGCTCAGCAGGTTGCAGGTGACCGATTAACACTGTTATTCTCCAATTTGCAAAAACAAGTTTTTTCAACAGTTTGTCATCTCTCACGAACAATTGCGCCAATCGAGCTGACACTCAACGCCTTGTACTCAGCAGGTTGCGGTGACCGATTCCCACTGTTATTCTCCAATTTGCAAAAACAAATTTTTTCAACATTTTGTCATATCTCACGAACTATTGTGCCAATCGAGCTGAAACTCAACGCGTTGTGCTCAGCAGGTTGCGGGTGACCGATTCGCACTGTTATTCTCCAATTTGCAAAAACAAGTTTTTTCAACATTTTGTCATATCTCACGAACTATTGGGCCAATCGAGCTGAAACTCAACGCGTTGTGCTCAGCAGGTTGCGGGTGACCGATTAATACTGTAATTCTCCAATTTGCGAAAACAAGTTTTTTCAACATTTTGTCATATCTCACGAACTATTGGGCCAATCGAGCTGACACTCAACGCGTTGTACTCAGCAGGTTGCGGGTGACCGATTAACACTGTTATTCTCCAATTTGCGAAAACAAGTTTTTTCAACATTTTGTCATATCTCACGAACTATTGGGCCAATCGCGCTGAGACTAATCGTGTTGTGCTCAGCAGGTTGCGGGTGACCGTTTAGCACTGTTATTCTCCAATTTGCAGAAACAAGTTTTTTCAACTTTTGCCATATCTCACGAACTATTGGGCCAATCGAGCTGAAACTCAACGCGTTGTGCTCAGCAGGTTGCGGGTGACCCACTCGCACTGTTATTCTCCAATTTGCAAAAACAAGTTTTTTCAACAGTTTGTCATATCTCACGAACAATGGGCCAATCGAGCTGACACTCAACGCCTTGTACTCAGCAGGTTGCGGGTGACCGATTCCCACTGTTATTCTCCAATTTGCAAAAACAAATTTTTTCAACATTTTGTCATATCTCACGAACTATATGGCCAATCGAGCTGAAACTCAATGCGTTGTGCTCAGCAGGTTGCGGGTGACCGATTAATACTGTAATTCTCCAATTTGCGAAAACAAGTTTTTTCAACATTTTGTCATATCTCACGAACTATTGGGCCAATCGAGCTGACACTCAACGCGTTGTGCTCAGCAGGTTGCAGGTGACCGATTAACACTGTTATTCTCCAATTTGCAAAAACAAGTTTTTTCAACATTTTGTCATATGTCACGAACTATTGGGCCAATCGAGCTGAAACTCAATGCGTTGTGCTCAGCAGGTTGCGGGTGACCGATTAATACTGTAATTCTCCAATTTGCGAAAACAAGTTTTTTCAACATTTTGTCATATCTCACGAACTATTGGGCCAATCGAGCTGAAGCTCAACGCGTTGTGCTCAGCAGGTTGCGGGTGACCGATTCGCGCTGTTATTCTCCAATTTGCAAAATTGAATAGACAAAAAGACCGAATAGCACTATTTGCTGCAATGTGCAAAAATAAGTTTTTTCCAACATTTTGTCATATCTCACGAACTATTGAACCAATGGAGCTGAAACTCAGCGCGTTGTGCTCAGCAGTTTGCGTTTGAGCGAATAGCACTATTTGCTGCAATGTGCAAGAATAAGTTTTTTCCAACATTTTGTCATATCTCACGAACTATTGAAGCAATCGAGCTGAGACTCAGCGCGTTGTCCTCAGCAGGTTGCGTTCGACCGAATAGCACTATTTGCTGCAATGTGCAAAAATAAGTTTTTTCCAACATTTTGTCATATCTCACGAACTATTGAACCAATCGAGCTGAGACTCAGCGCGTTGTGCTCAGAAGGTTGCGTTTGACCGAATAGCACTATTTGCTGCAATGTGCAAAAATAAGTTTTTCCCAACATTTTGTCATACCTCACGAAGTATTGAACCAATCGAGCTGAAACTGAGCGCGTTCTGCTCAGCAGGTTGCGTTTGACCGAATAGCACTATTTGCTGCAATGTGCAAACAGAAGTTTTTTCCAACATTTTGTCATATCTCACGAACTATTGAACCAATCGAGCTGAAACTCAGCGCGTTGTGCTCAGCAGGTTGCGTTTCACCGAATAGCACTATTTGCTGCAATGTGCAAAATAAGTTTTTTCCAACATTTTGTCATATCTCACGAACTATTGACCCAATCGAGCTAAAACTCAACGCGTTGTGCTCAGCAGGTTGCGTTTGACCGAATAGCACTATTTGCTGCAATGTGCAAAAAATAAGTTTTTTCCAACATTTTGTCATATCTCACGAACTATTGCACCAATCGAGCTGAAACTGAGCGCGTTGTGCTCAGCAGGTTGCTTTTGACCGAATAGCACTATTTCCTGCAATGTGCAAAAATAAGTTTTTTCCAACATTTTGTCATATCTCACGAACTATTGAACTATTAGAGCTGAAACTTAGCGCGTTGTGCTCAGCAGGTTGCGTTTGACCGAATAGCACTATTTGCTGCAATGTGCAAAAATAAGTTTTTTCCAACATTTTGTCATATCTCACGAACTATTGAACCAATCGAGCTGAAACTCAGCGCTTTGTGCTCAACAGGTGGCGTTTGACCGAATAGCACTATTTGCTGCAATGTGCAAAAATAAGTTTTTTCCAACATTTTGTCATATCTCACGAACTATTGAACCAATCGAGTTGACACTCACCGCGTTGTGCTCAGCAGGTTGCGTTGACCGAATCGCACTATTTGCTGCAATGTGCAAAAATAAGTTTTTTCCAACATTTTGTCATATCTCACGAACTATTGAACCAATCGAGCTGAAACTCAGCGCGTTGTTCTCAACAGGTTGCGTTTGACCGAATAGCACTATTTGCTGCAATGTGCAAAAATAAGTTTTCTCCAACATTTTGTCATATCTCACGAACTATTCAACCAATCGAGCTGAAACTCAGCGCGTTGTGCTCAGCAGGTTGCGTTTGACCGAATAGCACTATTTGCTGCAATGTGCAAAAATAAGTTTTTTCCAACATTTTGTCATATCTCACGAACTATTGAACTATTAGAGCTGAAACTCAGCGCGTTGTGCTCAGCATGTTGCGTTTGACCGAATAGCACTATTTGCTGCAATGTGAAAAAATAAGTTTTTTCCAACATTTTGTCATATCTCACGAACTATTGAACTATTAGAGCTGAAACTCAGCGCGTTGTGCTCAGCATGTTGCGTTTGACCGAATAGCACTATTTGCTGCAATGTGCAAAAATAAGTTTTTTCCAACATTTTGTCATATCTCACGAACTATTGAACCAATCGAGCAGAAACCCAGCGCGTTGTGCTCAGCAGGTTGCGTTTGACCGAATAGCACTATTTGCTGCAATGTGCAAAAATAAGTTTTTTCCAACCTTTTGTCATATCTCGCGAACTATTGAACCAATCGAGCTGAAACTCAGCGCGTTGTACTCAGCAGTTTGCGTTTGACCGAATAGCACTATTTGCTGCAATGTGCAAAAATAAGTTTTTTCCAACATTTTGTCATATCTCACGAACTATTGAAACAATCGAGCTGAAACTCAGCGCGTTGTGCTCAGCAGGTTGCGTTTGACCGAATAGCACTATTTGCTGCAATGTGCAAAAATAAGTTTTTTCCAACATTTTGTCATATCACACGAACTATTGAACCAATCGAGCTGAAGCTCAGCGCGTTGTGCTCAGCAGGTTGCGTTTGACCGAATAGCACTATTTTCTGCAATGTGCAAAAATAAGTTTTTTCCAACATTTTGTCACATCTCACGAACTATTGAACCAATCGAGTTGAACTTCAGCGCGTTGTGCTCAGCAGGTTGCGTTTGACCGAATAGTGCTATTTGCTGCAATGTGCAAAAATAAGTTTTTTCCAACATTTTGTCATATCTCACGAACTATTGCACCACGCGAGCTGAAACTCAGCGCGTTGTGCTCAGCAGGTTCCGTTTGGCCGAATAGCACTATTTGCTGCAATGTGCAAAAATAAGTTTTTTCCAACATTTTGTCATATCTCACGAACTATTGAACCAATCGAGCTTCAACTCAGCGCGTTGTGCTCAGCAGGTTGCGTTTGACCGAATAGCACTATTTGCTGCGATGTGCAAAAATAAGTTTTTTCCAACATTTTGTCATATCTCACGAACTATTGAACTATTAGAGCTGAAACCCAGCGCGTTGTGCTCAGCAGGTTGCGTTTTACCGAATAGCACTATTTGCTGCAATGTGCAAAAATAAGTTTTTTCCAACATTTTGTCATATCTCACGAACTATTGAACCAATCGAGCTGAAACTCAGCGCGTTGTGCTCAGCAGGTTGCGTTTGACCGAATAGCACTATTTGCAGCAATGTGCAAAAATAAGTTTTTTTCAACATTTTGTCATATCTCACGAACTATTGAACCAATCGAACTGAAACTCAGCGCGTTGTGCTCAGCAGGTTGCGTTTGACCGAATAGCACTATTTGCAGCAATGTTGCAAAAATAAGTTTTTTCCAACATTTTGTCATATCTCACGAACTATTGAACCAATCGAGCTGAAACTCAGCGTGTTGTGCTCAGCAGGTTGCGTTTGACCGAATAGCACTATTTGCTGCAATGTGCAAAAATAAGTTTTTTCCAACATTTTGTCATATCTCACGAACTATTGAACTAATTGAGCTGAAACTCAGCGCGTTGTGCTCAGCAGGTTGCGTTTGAGCGAATAGCACTATTTTCTGCAATGTGCAAAAATAAGTTTTTTCCAACATTTTGTCATATCTCACGAACTATTGAACCAATCGAGCTGAAACTCAGCGCGTTGTGCTCAGCATGTTGCGTTTGACCGAATAGCACTATTTGCTGCAATGTGCAAAAATAAGTTTTTTCCAACATTTTGTCATATCTCACGAACTATTGAACCAATCGAGCTGAAACTCAGCGCGTTGTGCTCAGCAGGTTGCGTTTGGCCGAACAGCACTATTTGCTGCAATGTGCAATAATAATTTTTTTCCAACATTTTGTCATATCTCACGAACTATTGAACCAATCGAGCTGAAACTCAGCGTGTTGTGCTCAGCAGGTTGCGTTTGACCGAATAGCACTATTTGCTGCAATGTGCAAAGATAAGTTTTTCCAACATTTTGTCATATCTCACGAACTATTGAACTAATCGAGCTGAAACTCAGCGCGTTGTGCTCAGTAGGTTGCGTTTGACCGAATAGCAGTATTTGCTGCAATGTCCAAAAATAAGTTTTTTCCAACATTTTGTCATATCTCACGAACTATTGAACCAATCGAGCTGAAACTCAGCGCGTTGTGCTCAGCATGTTGCGTTTGACCGAAGAGCACTATTTGCTGCAATGTGCAAAAATAAGTTTTTTCCAACATTTTGTCATATCTCACGAACTATTGAACCAATCGAGCTGAAACTCAGCGCGTTGTCCTCAGCAGGTTGCGTTTGGCCGAATAGCACTATTTGCTGCAATGTGCAAAAATAAGTTTTTTCCAACATTTTGTCATATCTCACGAACTATTGCACCAATCGAGCTGAAACTCAGCGCGTTTGTGCTCAGCAGGTTCCGTTTGACCGAATAGCACTATTTGCTGCAATGTGCAAAAATAAGTTTTTTCCAACATTTTGTCATATCTCACGAACTATTGCACCAATCGAGTTGAAACTCAGCGTGTTGTTCTCAGCAAGTTGCGTTTGACCGAATAGCACTATTTGCTGCAATGTGCAAAAATAAGTTTTTTCCAACAGTTTGTCATATCTCACGAACTATTGAACCAATCGAGTTTGGCACTCACCGCGTTGTGCTCACCAGGTTGCGTTTGACCGAATAGCACTATTTGCTGCAATGTGCAAAAATAAGTTTTTTCCAACATTTTGTCATATCTCACGAACTATTGAACCAATCGAGCTGAAACTCAGCGCGTTGTGCTCAGCAGGTTGCGTTTGACCGAATAGCACTATTTGCTGCAATGTGCAAAAATAAGTT